TTTCGGAGCGAAAAGAAGCGAGAGGCCGTGTATTTGAGAGGGAACAGAATAATTTGGAGACGCGAGTGAAATTGGCCTTGGCCCATCTCTAAACATCATTTTATATATGCGTTCCAATTGAAGTTTCGTATTATCGTCTATGACGGTACTAAATAGTCTAATACCAAATTCAAAAGGTAAAATCGGCTTTTACTGAGAGGGAATAATCAAATGATTTTATTCATACATTTGCAAAGATTAAAACGTTCACAATTTCTCTTATCACACCTGAGGTAATGACTAATGAGCCTTGATGCTTTGGGTTTACGGATTGCGCAAAGCTACTCAATAAACCCGCGGAATTAGTAACTCAGAGCTGGGACAAAGGAGACATTCTAATGAAAAAGTAACCAGACTAATTACAGAACACCAGCTAACAAGAGACCAGCCGGAGAATACTGAAGAAGAGAGGCAGAGATAGACTTGATAGATGAGTCTACATGAACGAGCCAATGACACTATTGGCGCAAGTGAATCACTCTTAAAATGCATATTACAGGAAACAAACTTCGAAACGCCATGTGCCAGCTTCAGCCTCTGGTTTGGCGAGTGTTGTATGATTTGCAGTTTGGGCATTTCTGAGCCACCACATGGTACTGTACCTCTGATTTCTTCCCACAGTCGTTGCAGAGAATCTGAACCTGTTTTGTTTCCGTCAAAAGATTTAGTCATAGTCTACTAATCTTAAGTGCAACTGAGTAAGTTCACACTGACCATTCTGTTCTGGAATGGTTCCGGCATTGGTGTAGCCGCGATCTCCACGTCAAATTTCTCCCACACCTTTGACATGTCGCATACAGATTTTGAACAAAGTGGGCAAGCATATCTGCGGCAATAGTTTACAGTTGTCAATTGAAAGATATCCACAATCACGAGTTTTGAAAACAGGACACAAGCCCTGAGTTCTTTATACTTACTGGTAATGTTCTCTCATTTCCTCCAAGCACTTCTGATGGATTGTGTGTCCACATGGCAAAACCGTCACATCGTTCCGTGATTCAAACAGAAACTGGAAGAAAACCAGCCAGAACAGTTTTGTTAACTAGGGACGTTCGTGTTTACCTTGTATAAGTAAAACTAAACCATCAATAATTCTTTTTACCTCGAAGCAAATGGGGCAATCGTGATGCATTGCTCCTTCAACACAAGGGTGACTGTTCTTGAGAAGGATTGAATAACAACAGCCTGGTTGAGATTCAGAGAGCTCGTTTGGTTGTAAATATCAACAAATATAGTAGTTTCCAGCCTGAAAACTCGAGGCTATCTGAAGCAGAAGATGGCTTACCACACTTGTAGCAGTGAAAGAAATTTTCACGTCCACCAATTCTGGAAGGAAAGAAAAGAGAGTTTAAATATGAACCAAATGATAAGGGTGTTGAGTAAATCAGATGTTTTGGATATTAAAGGGGAGACCAAGAATGCACCTGCAAATTCCACAACCGTCACAGTGATACTGTTTCTTCGACGTCTGGAAACAAGATAGCAATATAATGGTTAACAAGCAAAAATAAAGAAGAAATCTCAAGGCCTAGTCTGTAGCATAAAGAAAAAGATAATGGATACAACAAACAATAATAAAATTCATTCCCCTCAGAAAACTTACATCATCATCATAGAGCTTGCAAACTGTACAGAAGTACTTCCCCATGCACACTCCGCAGTGGATACAAGTTTGGCGAACCTGGTGAAAGGCCATAGAAAACAGAGAGTTACATTTCAACAAAGTTAAGGAAAATGTCGGATAGCGTCATCTCCGTTAAAGAGCCACTCAGCTCCTTCACTGATTATTCTAAATCTCTGATTACTAAAACAGGAAAAGTTTAGAGAAAGCATAAGAGTTAGAACACACCTCTTGTTCAGTGCCACAGAGTAAGCAAACAACCTGTGAAGAAGAAAGGTAGAGATCTTGTCAACTCGGAATCAAACATAAAATGATAAACATAGAGCGACCAAGATATACTGACTACTTTACCTGTTCAACTTGGTGGCGAGGAACATCATGCCTCTGTTTTAGATCTACGTTTATACTGTTCTGTTTCCAAAACATGATTAGAAAAGTCAGCATACGTATCTTGAGAGAAATATGAGTTGCTAAGAAAAGGCAGTTTCCTGCAATCTATATCTTGAAACAAAGAACCCTACCTTCGCCTCATTGTGACAGTGATGGCAACCGAATATCTCATTACAGCAAGGAGCTCTAATGCAACACCTTCTTCTGTAATGTGGACAACTGCAAGAACATGGGGGGAGGTGAATACAAGAAAAAAGGTCATCTCTAAGAAAATACAAATAGGAAGCAAAAATTACCCATGCTCCATCAGTCCTCTACCAAGAACTTCGTTAATCAATGACTCTGTGGCTACCCTTTCCAGAGTTGACGACTCAGACTCTTCTTTGATTGAATGAGGGTGCAAACTTCTTGACATCTCACTCTTCTCTAGGTCAGACTTCTGCGGTTGCTCGGTGAAATGGTTGAAATATACGCCTCCCATTACGAATTGGTGTCTCTATTGGCAGAGACTGCTAGCTGCTGGAAAAGCTTATGAAACCTGCAAGTAAGGGAAGATTTAGAAAGAACATTCATCATTTCAAAAATATCATCTGTCACCTGAAAATCCAGGAAAAAACTCGATGAACTGTTGCTTCCATCTACATTGCAGCACACCAATCCAATCAGCACCAAGACAAATTTGAAACGGCTCCAATCAGCTTTCTCCAAGAGGAAGAATCATCAAAACAAGAAGATTTACAAGTATCCTGCTAAACAACTAAATACACATCTCTCTTGGTTGATGGAGCCTTCATAGAGAACTAAAAGCTTAGCACATTGAGTGCTCACTTCAATCCTTGAATTCTGGGGAATTATATCCAGTTTAAACCAGATATGCCCAACCTAATGTAAAAGCAACGCAAACACGATCAAACACGGTTCGAGACTGACATAAAGATGGGAATAACCGGGGTAAAGAGATGGGTTAACGTCCAAAGAGGACAGACCTACCTCCCACTGCCACTCTGCAGCAATTTTCTTCAGTCAACATACAAATCAGAATTTTTTTAAAAGGAAACAAAAGCCTGAAGAAAGTACTCCTAGTTTATAGAACCCTTCTTCAAAGCTGGCCTGCTTTCTCTTATGACCTAAATGGTAACCCCATAATCAAAGAAATTTACCCGGAAAATTCCACTACCAAGTTCACAACCTCCGCATGCTCGAGGGAGGAAAAACTTCATCGTGGTCAACCACGTGATATGCTCTTAGGAAACTCAACATGGGGACCATAGCTGAGAAAGACAGACTACAAAAAAAAAGTGAGCAATCAGGCCGCCTTCTTCAAGAATGATTTTGAGGAACCTCTGTTCATCCACCTTGGATGACATGGCAAAACACAAACCGCTCTTGGCCAAATCAGAGATGACAAGCAGATTATCTAAGAGTTGCGTGATCAAGTAAAATGCTTAGGTAGAATTTAGGTTGCAAAAGTATGAGTTAGCGAAGAAAACCATCCATGACGAAGACCGCACAAAGGGTAGCAGCTAAGCTGATAGAAGGAGAATAGATTTTTCACAAGATGAACAAGAAGGAAGGTTTCTCAATGACCCATATACCTCATTCTCATGAATCCTTTCATCAAGAACCAGAAGATACTAGAACCAAACTCTCAGACTCACCTTGAATCTGGCTTTTACTCCTGAAGCAGCACCTAAAAAGCCCTCCAAGAAGCCCCTTCTCCTTTGCCAAGTCAAAGACTGCCTCATGGTCATGGGTATGGTTCAAAATTCAAAGAAGTGTCAGATGTAATCGGTTTATGGAAGATACAATATCCGGCTTAACATCTTCAGTTAAGCACAACACTAAATCTTGTTGAGAGTTTATTAGGTCATATGAAATGAAGGCCTATGATTTCTACTTTGTGCTCCCCATCCAACACAGGAATTCAGAATTCGCGACACAGTTCCAAGCTAGATTCTTCTAAACTACGGATTAGTTCCTCTTCTTCTGAAATCATCCAATTTTTTTTCCGAAAAGTATACAAAAACCCAATCGATCTAAAATAGTGTACGAGCAAAATCAAACCACACATTTAGAGAGACACATTACCGAACAAAAATCAAAGGAATGAAGGATATCTAATCACGGAAACGTAAGCAAGAGGATAAATGAAATCAAGCACTACGAATCTTATTATAGATAACGAACTTTCGATCCGACGATCTCCACCGATTCAGAGTTTCAGAGAGAGAAAGGTTAAGTTCTCCGACGACAATTCCGGCGCGCTCCAAGCAACAACCCTTCGAACGACGACGATTCACGGAAGAAGAAATGGAGTTTTTCAGGTGATGAAAAATGAAAGGAAAACCTCGTGTGGTTTTTATAAAGGGAAGAAGATGCGGCTTGACTTTCCAGATACTTCGAATTTTGCCTTCTTTTTTGAAGAAATAAATTTCCTTATTAATTATTTATTTGTTGTAGCTGGCACCGAAAATAAACGGCCATTATTTTCCAGGATCCGTACGTATAATAATGTCTACTCAAATGTTAGGCCACAAAAAAAAAGAGAAATATTATTTTTTGCAAATGCATACAATACAGATGTCAAAGGACAAAACAAAGAGAAATACATGTTTTTTCAAATGTATATAAATAGATGTCAAAGTGAAAAAAAACAAAAAAAATACATGTATCATGTTCCAAATGTCTAAAGATCATATTCAATGCCACAACTCGAATGCCTAAACAATTTTACGAGTAAGCAAATTGAATCAAAAAATTAGTGTTTTATTTAGACGACAAAAAACATGGAATTATTGCCAATTTTACATATGGGGAAGTTTACGTGTTGAACTTGATTAACTTGGTTTGGAGATGCGATGACGTGGCATCTAAATGATTGGCATCTCTAATCAGTTTTGATTCCACAAGAAATCTTTAATTACTTAATTGGCAAAAACAAAATTCCCCCAAGCATCAAATTCAAAGCTTATCCCTATGATGTAGACACGACACCTATCATCAACTTTCTTTTTTCGACCCTTTCAATATTCAACATACAAAGAAAGAAATTAACCATACAACTTTTTTAATGAACTAAACAAAAATCGAATCAGAGAGAGTATCTATTTTCTAAAATTGAGCAGTTGATCTGTGCCTTCAAATAGTTGCTACACTTGTTCTCTTATTAATGAATCTGAACAACAACAAAAAAACTCAATCTCAACAACAAGAAACAGAGACTAAAAAAAAATCATATAAGAGTCAAATTAAACACACAAACACATGCATTCTAGAAAAATAGACAAGTCCACCTCCTACATTTTGTGTCCCAAAAATGTCAAGCTTGAGGTTTCCACTTATAACCTCCTCGCTTCCCACTACAAACGCCGGTGATATCTCATATGGCTTTCTACTTTCGAAGTCTAAACAAATCTCTTCATGTTTCTACACATAGATCGTTCAGTTCATCGGCGGCGAGGAAGAGTTCTGAGGACTCTGAACCGCGGGCTGTTGAGCACACGGAGACAGTTGCGGCGGCTGTGGAGGCGGTGAGTATATTGGTGGACATGGTCTTGC